ATTTATTCTTGAAGAGCTTGGTGTTACGATATGCCAACAAAATAATTCCTACATGATTGTAGAGTGTGCATTGTTAAGTAAACCCCCAGGGAAGTTCAGTGGTGGTACACAAGAGCATCTAGATTTTCCTGATGATACTGCTCTTTCAAGGAGATGCAAATATTGATCCGATTACAATATGCGTTCTTCAAAAAACAAACAGCTTCAAAACAAAAACAAATCTCACAAGAACCTCAGCAAGAAGGTGTAGTAACCTGTTTCTAGCTCGCTGATGTCCAAAAGGAAGGAATGTTCCAGATTACAAGTCATCAGCCCAAATGCTCCTTTTATCTTCACATACACAGTTATATAGGCAGGTGTTTACATGCCTCAAACAAACCACTTTGGTAATGCATGAAAAGAACTTGGACCTTAATCATCTTTTCATGTTATAACAGCCCTTTCTCTTTTGAATTTGAGAAAGTTTGAGCATTTTGAGCTTTTCTTGGCAAACCTCCTCTCTATTAGAGCAGGCAGAAGAGCGTGCAGGAGAAATCTGAGTTTTTCACTGAGTACTGATCTAAAACGGTAGATGCTTGGGGTTTTTATGGTATTAGGAACTACAAAAATGTCCCAGGAGAGAAGGTGAGCCTTTTTACTTTAACTCCATGGCTGAAAATTCAGGAAAGATACAGGTTTCCAAATTACCATTGGATATGAAGGCTCTTAAAGTTTTCTTCTACTGAGATTTCTGCTGTTTAGCTTAAAGTAAAAGTCTCTCTGAAAATTAAGTTCTGGAATTATTAGAAGCATGAACATGAAATCAAGTGAATACATGCCAGCATATGTATATTTTTTTAAATACAGTTTATGTAGGTGATGAACACTTCAGGGTTCTTTGATGTGGAGCCATAGCCTCAGTTGATGTAAATTAGCACAGGTTCATTGAAGCTACGCCTGTTCATACCAGCCTTGGGGTTTGGTCCAAGATCTCAGAGTAACTGCATTGATAAAGAGGAGCTTCATCGTAAGCACAATCTGTCGTTTCTTTCTATTGAAGCCTGATAATACTGGGGCTTGTACAAAAATCTAGTCTTTTAAAACGTTGAGGTATTTTAGTACTAAGCCTTTTGAAATGGCTCTGCTGGCATCGAAGAAGTGGTGCTTTGAGAAGGTCCATTAGTAGTTCCTTGAAGATACCCAATCCATCATAAACTTTGTGTGTGTTAGGAGAGACACTGTGCAGCTTCTGTTTAATTTGGTGCGGTGTCAGTGAATGCTTGTTAAGCATTTTGAGGAAAAATGTTACAACATATCTTACAACTCGCTTCATTTAAATGGAGCCTGAACTTCCAAGTGAAGGATTGGGGAAACTGAATCAGCAGCACTGAACCGTGCTATTATATTTACAACAGTGGGAGGTTTTACCAAGTTACTTATTAAATTACCTTTTCGGCCCAATTTGTAATAATCCTGGAAGTTTCCTGAAAAAGATGACTCATTTAATTTATCAGAATGAGTCGTTTCACTGTCAGAATGGTGTTACTTTATGAAAACTTTTGCATTTAGGGAAGCAGAGGAATTTGAGGCCAGGCCTCCCTGTTTTCTGTGAAACTATTCCATGCTGCTGTCCAGTGAGAATAGAAAATAGATTGTTACGCTAGAAAGAGAGCTGCCTCCTTACGTTTGCCTCCTGCTCACACCCTTTGAAAGAGATGGGAATATGCTTCAAAGAACAAAAGACTTGAAGTGATCCACATCAAATATAATAAAGCTGCAGCCTCTACTAGCTAAGCTAAAGAAATGAGAAGCTCTACTCTTGTACTCTTGACTGCTTCGTGGATCGCTTTGTTCTTTATTCATACAGAAGAATAAAATATAAATTTATATCTCCTACTTCTGGTTTGTTGGTTTGGGGCTTGGTTTTTTATTATTATTTCTTATTTTACTAGTTCTTAAAACTAAGAACTACCTTGCTAACTGAAAGCAGTTGGGGAACAGGAGGTGAAGGGGTGATAGCTTAGATGGAAGCAGTGAGGGGAAAATGTCCAGCCTCCGGTCTGGAAAACCTGAATACAGTGACATAAATGATATATGTTAAAGCCATGATATCAACTAAAATTAGTTACTTTATCAAGAGTCTGCATCTGGCTGAAGATAGACCAGTTTGTACCTAAAAGTTGTTAACCAAGAGCCTGACAGATGTCTTGGGGGTACGTTTTCCATCTTTTTTGTGAGTCTGGTAGAAGGAAAAGCAGAAGGGCTGAAGGAAGGGGAGCACTTCGTGGCTAGTTCTGTCAAGCCCGTATCCAGATAGCTCATTTGAATTGCTGTGGCTTTTCTGTAATAATAAACACAATTTAATTACCATGTATCTTTCATCCTGAAGGGCAGAGCACAGCTAATTAAAAAAAAAAAAGCTGTATTCTAGGAAAAAGCCAAGTAACCTACTTTGAAAAAAAAAAATCAGAATTTTGGTACAACCACTGTATGCCATATGGTTATTTTAAAACAGTAAATTATTATGCGAAGGTAAAATATGAGTGGGTTACACAGTGTAGTAGGAGACGGCAGTATCACTTCATGTTCTGAATTAGAAATATTAATTTTGGAAGCTTTTACCTTCTTACTCACGCTTTCTAAGCAGGGTTATAGTTGGGGTTTCAGGTCAGTTCAAAGCCAAATCCAGGCGATGGCTAATCTCGGCATGTGGTCCTGCGCCGGCTCCAGGAGTTTCAGGCTCTGCTGCTGGCTCTTACGTGTCATAATTTACCAGACTGTATAAGGGCTGTTTATACAGATTTCGTGGTCTTGATAGTAAAGATTTTGTAAGTTAACGCGTGGCTCAGTGGAGTCTCTTCTCACTGCCTCTCCCCACTATCATTTTGCAAACGGCAGTGGGTTTTGGTGTTTGCTCGGGAAGTTTGTGCTGTTGTAGCTAATTCAGCCCGAACTGCCTGCTTGCTCTCTTAATTCATTAGTGTATTTTTTTCAGTTAGGGTTGGTTGGGTGTTGTGTTTTTTTTGTGGTAGTCAAGTTATGGTAAATGCCTGTAACTACCCTCATGTAAAGAAAATAAACTGCTTTGTCAGAAGGTAATGTACAAAGCAATGAATTTTAAGAGCTTACCTACAGAGATGTTGTCTCTGCTTGGATATTATGCTTTTTTCTGCAGTTAAATCTCTTAAGTCTTTCTTAGTGTATGTAAGGAATTTTTGATTTCTTTTCCTGAGTTGGATTACTGGGCTGTAATGTTCATTAATTCATAATGAGCAAGGCTTTCTTCTAGAAAATCACATGCTTGTGATTGTACGTGAGATTTGGGTGTGGGTTGTTTTTTTGTTTGTTTGGTATTTTCCTCACAAGAACTCTCTGCACAGACTACAGAATAATGAGAATTGGTAAATAAAATTGGCTGTAATGGCTTTTAATGCTTAAAAAGAATGTGACATGAGAGCAAGAAGAGGCAAAGCTGTAGCCTGGAGTTCATCACGAACTGGTCACTGAGAGATTGATTGGTGAGGCCCCATCTGGAGCACTGGGTCCAGTTCTGGGCTCCCCAGTTCCAGAAGGACAGGGAACTGCTGGAGAGGGCACAGCAGAGGGCTACAGAGACAATGAGGGGTCTGGAGCATCTCCCTTGGGAGGAAAGGCTGAGGGACTTGGGTCTTTTGAGTCTGGAGAAAAGAAGGCGGAGGGGGGATCTGATCAACACCGATAAATACTTAAAGGGTGGGTGTCAGGAGGATGGGGCTGGTCTTTTTTCAGTGGTGCCCAGGGACAGGTCAAGAGGAAATGGGCACAAACTTCAATGTGAGATGTTCCACATAAGCATGAGGAGGAACTTCTTTCCTGTGAGGGTGGCAGAGCCCTGGCAGAGGCTGCCCAGGGAGGTGGTGGAGCCTCCTTCTCTGGAGACATTCCAAACCCACCTGGACACGTTCCTGTGGGACCTGCTGTGGGTGGCCCTGCTTTGGCAGGGGGTTGGACTGGGTGATCTCCAGAGGTCCCTTCCAAGCCCATGTGATTCTGTACTAATTCTGCAAGGCAGCTATAGAGGGAAGGAGCCCGCGGCCTAACCAAAAGTAAAATTTATGGAGAATTTGCAAATATATTACAGTTCCCAGAAAGCCTGCCTATCCAACTGAAAATTCAGACTTTGCAGTAACTGTTTGAGAGCACAGTTTGAAAAGTCTTTTCCCTCACTGTTTGGTGACCATTTGGATGGAAACGAGTAGCCCTGGCAGCTGGCATGTGGGGTGAAGCTGGTCTTCTGGCCCCTTTCCTCCCCAGCCCATTGCCTGTGTTTTCTCAGGTTTAAATAGGAAAAATTGGGGCTCCTTCACAAGACCGACTGTAGTGGGCCCAGTTGCCCCTACTCATAACCTGTCTTCTTCTTTGCCCGCTAATTGAGGAACAGTCCCTTCTCCTGCCTCTGGGGTGGTGGGTGCCGCGTCTCAGGTGCCTGTGACTCCAACCCATGTTTTGTGGGGGGGTCTGTCTCAGGACTCAATGGTGTTAATGCTGCAGCTCTCTTGCCCCTAACTGAAGTTGATCAATGTCTCGGAGTCACGGAATTGTCAGAGTTGGAAGGGACCTTCTAGAGATCCTCCAGCCCAACTCCCCTGCCAAAGCAGGGTTGCCCAGAGCACATCACTCAGGAGCATCCAGGTGGGGCTCGAAGATCTCCAGAGAAGGGGACTCCACACCTTCCCTGGGCAGCCTCTTCCAGGGCTCTGCCACCCTCACCCCAAAGAAGTTCTTCCTCAGATTGGAGTGGAACTTCCCATGGTCCAGCTTGTGCCCGTTGCCCCTCGTCCTGTCACTGGGAACCACTGAAAAGAGTCCGGCTCCATCCTCCTTCAACCCACCCTTTAGGTACCTATAAGCATTACTAAGGTCTCCCCTCAGCCTTCTCTTCTCCAGGCTAAAGAGCCCCAGCTCTCTCAGCCTTTCCTCATCAGGGAGATGCTCCAATCCCTCCATCATCTCTGTTGCCCTACGCTGGACTCTCTCCAGCAGTTCCCTGTCTCTCTTGAACTGGGGAGCCCAGAACTGGACGCAGGATTCCAGTTGTGGCCTCCCCAGTGCAGAGTATCAATTTAAAAGTATTTTTAAGGGAATAAGTGGGCTAACTGGCATGTTCTCCATCTATGCCAGGTGGAAGACGAGGGGCTTTTACACGCTGGTTGGGGTTTTTTTGGGGGAGTTTTGTGTGGGTTGTTTTGGTTTTCTTTTTCCTTGGAAGAATACCTTTATCATTAGCTGACTGTACATTTAAATAACTGGATTTGGAGTTCTCTTACATTATAAACCCATTTTTGGTATGAAGTTGTCTTTAGGGAGTTTGATTTACACTGTTTTTAGTTTCTCTGTGGGAAGCACTGAGCTTGCATGGGGCTTCTTTCCGTGGAAGAATAATTCAGTAAATACTGGGGCTAGCAATTCTGTACAAAATAAAGGTCTAACGACCAGCGGAGAAAACCCTGCGACTGCATGTCCAGCGCCGTCTGAAGAGCAGAGCTCTGCTGCAGTACCCTCTTTGAGATCTCCGTCTTTTAGTCGAACTTGCATCCAGCTGCTATTCTGTTGGCTGAGGTGTCCTGTTGTGCTGTAGGCGAGTGGTTGGTGTGGAGGTGCCCAGGGTTGAGCTCTTCGGATGGTCTGCGTGTCACATGAGCGTGATGGTACCCGTGTCTGGGTGTTCCGATGGGCTGTGGGACACCAGGAATGGCATCTCTGTCCCATCCGGCTCTGCTGGCAGAGGCACCTGCTTTAGGCTAGGCGGGAAAAGAAAACCAAGTTTTGTACCAACTGCAGGAATGAATTCAACCTTAAAAGCTAAATTCCAGGGCACTTACAGATGTGCTTTCTAAGTTCAGTGCCATCAGTGATGACTTCTACCGTTAATGTATTATTGTATGTCAATAGCTACATCCTGTCTTTCTTTTTTTTGCGTAATGAATAAAATCTGAAGCAGCTTTACAGTGGGTACGGTCTTTGGAATTACATTCCCAAGCCAGATACTTCTAGTACCAGTTTTACAGCCTGAGATTTTGTATCTAATATGGAAGTATTGCGTATGCGATCTGCTGGCAACTGTTAGGAATTAATGTCAGAACTGTTACTGAATTGGAAGTGTATTATGATAGATTTCTGTTTAAGAACAGATAAATACAAAGCAAATCGATTGTAGGAAACAAATACAAAGAGAAAAATGTAAATCGCTAACAGAGGATGCTTATAATTTTTTTTTTTTTTAAGAATGTGCTCAAAACCTGAATCAAGAAAGATGAGTCTGGATTAATTAATACATGCACAATAGATGTTTTGGGTGGGAATTGAAACCAGCTATAGAGAAAAATATACCTGATTAAAGAAACAGTAAGTTAGAAGGAGAGAAAGGATAGAAAATAGAACACAGCACTAAAGCAACATACAGGGGGAAAAAAACCTCTGTCTGATTAATTGTGTTAATATAGTAGTGTAGACAATGTAAAATTTTCCTTGACATTGGGTGATGATTTAGAAGGAGACGAAGTGGACTTGCTGCATGTTTTAAGATCTGTCCATTGACCGTTTTTAATCTAGTTAGTAATTAGTAATTGAACTTTATCAGTTACTGATGGCATTTTCCAGGGTTCTTTCTGGACTGAGTTACTGGTGGTAAATAAGCAGGAACAAATCAGGTTTAAATGCGGCTGTTGATGAGTTTTACACTTGAGGAGATGAACTGTGGGCTGCGTTTAGACACCGTTTGTAGAAATATGTAGGGGTGGGCGGAGGGGTCTTTGGGATAGCGTGGGGACCAGTATGTCCTTTGAGATGCTGTGGCCCAGAGGGTTGATATGACCATAAGGACAGGAACTGCGCGTTGGAGCGCAGAGCCTGTGTTAACGTCTGGGATGCTCCACGCGGGACTGCTGCTGGGCCAATTCCTGCTCGCTGCAGAAACCTGCTGTAAAACTCTGTTTATCTTCACCTTGCTGTATTTTAAAGCTTTTTTGATTTGAGGCAGGGAGCCTGGGTAATACCTTTCAGCTGAACGCTTGGTTCAGCTGCAGAGAATCCTGGTGGCAAAATACCTTTTTGCTCTGGCTTGCTGGCTCGCATATCTCGGCTGTTTATCCAGCTATTGCCTGTAAACATCTCTTACATATAAAAAGGGCTTCATATTGGGTTTAAAACCCTCAGTTAAACACCACTTTCTGTGAGCTGTGGCACATCATCTGCTTTGCCTTGCTCCCTGCTTCTGTATTCTGGTGGCAGAAATACAACATGGAAATGAATGTCTGCCCCTGAAATTGCGCAGGAAACATCAGACCTGAAAATGCATGCAATTTCCTGTCCAGCACTGGCATTTCTCTTATTTTCATTGCACATATAATCCACTCCTCAGCTGAGATTTGCTTCTGTGTCTTTAGGTGTTTTTCTTCTGTGCCAGACTGGCAGCAGAAGGTTGCAATGCTGCTCTTAAGTTTGGGGTTTGTTCTAAATGGAGCATGGGTTCCTGTTGTTCCTACAGAACAGTGGTTCTGTTGTGAAGACCACAAATGTTACACACAGGCATTTCTGAAAATCACTCTTAAATTACATGATTTGTTAAAAGTCCTTTTCCTTGAGCTCCTCTTTTTTTTTTTTTTTTTTTTCTCCTCGTTGAGAGAGAGTTCACTTAAGAAATAAATTTTCTTTACAGGAATTCAGTCTCCTTTATTTGACTATGCAAAAATTTCTGGGCAGGTCCACGCAGTGACTTTGTGCTTTGTGCAACTGAAAGGAGCAAAGCTTAGAGGAGTTGCAACAGTAAAGGATTTCTTTTTGGCTCTTTTTTTTATTTAGTATTATTATTATTTGATGGCACCCCATGTTGAGGCAACTCTGACTTAACTTGGTAATTAAACCTCATTTGTGACCTTTTCCCCATTAATTTGATCCATTAAAGAAACGCTCTTTGAAGCTGGGAATTAATCTCCCTATTTAAATTGCTTGGTTTTACTCAGATTGGTTACAGCTTAGTTTTAAACAGCAGCTAAAAATAGGAAGCTGTTGTGCTGTACAGTTTAAATATCTATCTATAGCAGGAGCCTTTCTAGAAAGGAAATCCTTCGTAAGAGGGAGAGGAGCCTCCGCTGGTCGGATGACACCGGTTGGTACCAACATTGCACTTGAGTTTTGCCTGTTGTAAAGTCAAGCAGCGCTTGATTCTCTTACCCTGGGATTAAACCGTAACACCGTGAGCTTGATTTGAGCAGTGTTTCAGTTGGTAATGAATAATTCAATATTTTTAATAACAATTTGGCATTAATAATTCAAGTTTTGACACTTTACGTTGAAATCTGCTGCTAAGTGTGGTAAAACAGGGCAAAAATCTAGAAACTAGACAAAAGTATTTTCCAGAACATCAGGCTTTTGGAAAGAAAATACAAGGGAAAGGGCTGAAATCGCAACTTGGGAGGTTAGGATCTATTGTCATCACTGGTGTTGTTCTTCTCTACGTGCTCTTTGTGATCCACTTGGGCCTGACAATCTTGTAAACTCGAAGTGCACAGCATTATTGCTAAAGCAAGGGGTTTTGGTTTTTGGTTTTTAACTTAAAAGTGTTTCTGCAGTTGAAAAGCCATGAGAAGAATGCAGGCATCTAGGCAGATGGAAATCAATTACTTCCAACTCTCCCTTGAGTTTCTGTTGTAGGAGGAACTTTCCGCAGGTAAAGGGATCTTGAATGAGTAGCCAACAAAGAAAAATCAGAGGTATAAAGGTGAATCTGTCCAGTGCAGCATAATTACTTATTTTACCTTTGTCGGTGCAATCTGTGGTCCTCAAAAGGACAACAAGAACATGGATTTTTTTTGATTTTTTTTTTTTTTACCTACATACTTAGTTTTCCATCAAGAGAAAAGGTACCTGAGGTCTGTCTTCAGTAGGAAATGTTTAATCCATCAGGTTATATAGCTAAAATATTTTTCCAGTATTGTTAAAGGTCAGACTTCTTGTGGCTGTTTCCAGATATCCGGGTATGTCAGGAGCCTCAAGTGTCTCAGACCATGATATCCATGACTGGAGCAGGAACATCTGTTGTCACAGGGAAATTGAATGTGAAGAAATCTGCAAGATGGGAAACACAATCAGATATTTTAGGCTACTTTTTTGAGGAACTCAAGCTTATATTCACAGAGACCAATAGAGCTATTGTATGTCCAGAATTTTTTACTGCTACTAAAACCTATAAGTTAGTTTTCCAGATATCTCCATTACTATTATGTTGATTTATTAGTGTTTCTCATTACATAGAAATAAGTAATTCTGTGATCTAGTAGCCTGATTTTGCCACCAAAGGAGAAAACATAATCCTATCCTTAGCTCTTAGGAGCCTTTAAAACTTATGATTCTGAAAATCCAAAGTCCTAGTGTTTCTTTCTGCTGGCAGGGGGCAGGAGGAGAGGATGGTGGGGTCGGGGGTGGATGGAGATGCTGTGCAGCTTTGTGAAGTTGGAAAAAATGAAGGGCATCACAGAAGAAATTCTGAGAGCTTACTCTGTCTTTATTGGAGCTTATTAAACTTCTTCGGCGTTTCAAGGCATTCATGCTTCCCACGTCAGCCTCAGTATATCATCACCTGCATGTTTCTGCACAAACTAAGCAGGATTTTGGCTATTGTGGGTAGCGCATCAAGTAAAGGAGTGAAAAACGTGTTCTTTTGGGTATTTGACTGCTTACCTTAAACCTGGTTTATTATTTCCCAGGGAATATCAGCTTGTGAAGCGCTTTCCTCTGTCATCTGTGGTACCTCCCCCAAGATGGGTGCTAATTAAAAAGTGCTTTAGCACAGATCTGCAGACTTAGCATCATGAATTTTGCAGTGGTAGTATGTGGTGACTTCTTAAGTCTGGTAAAGTTTGAAAAAAGTAATTCCTAGACTGGTAGTAGTAAATAATGCAGTGGTTTATTTTCTGTCTTTTGCAAGTAATGATGCTTAATCTCTTTATGATAACGTTAAAAGGCATGCATCTTTGAATTATAAAAGGAGTGTTTATAGGGATATGTTTGTCTCACAACTTCCGTGAAAGTCAATGGAAAAAGGTGATCCTACAGATTAGTGCAACTGCCTTTTGTTTCTCAGGTATATGCAAAATGGAGATAGGGTCCCCTCAGAGGGCAAAAGTGTATAAAAAGAAAAATGGACAATAGTACCGTATACTTCTGTGTATACGGCAAAAATGCACATTTAACTGCAGTGGCATATCTTCCCCGGGGACCACAGCAGCATTGAGTTCTTGTTCAAATATAAGAAAAAAATTGGGAGAGCTCCTCTCAAAATGCTTAGCTCAAAACTCCTGTGACAGATGCACGAGACAAACACGAACCCGTGTGGGTACTGGGCAAAAAAGAGAATTATCCACGGTACCGACTGACAGAGTTTTTGGTTGTTTTGGTGCTTGCTTTTTGTGAGCTGTCCTTTATGTCACGTGTCCGGGGGAGGTGAACCTAACGCAGGCGATGGAAGGAGAATGGGGCATCTTCTTCACAGCTGTTTTTCATTCCAGGGGAGTTTGTGGAAGGGACTGTGCTGGAGAAAGAGAGCTGGGAAAGGGACTTTTTTGGATCACTTGAAAAGCAGGATGCTTTTTCCAGAAAGAGTGGTCAGACCCTGGAATAGGCTGCCCGGGGAGGGGGTTGAGTCTCCATCCCTGAATGTGTTGAAGAGTCATTTAGATGTGGGGTTGGGGGATGTGGTGTAGGGGAGAACTTTGTAGAGTGGGGTTGATGGTTGGACTCAATGATCCCGAGGGTCTTTTCCAACCCGAATGATTCTATGATTCTACGCCTCACACTCAGTCCATGTCCTTGTTTATCTGACCTGTTAGGTGGGCTTTGTAAGGATGGTAGAAAGGGAAGAATTTGGAGAGTGTACACCTTAGCACTGGAGCATCAAGCTGGAAATAACTTACGCTTTAGTATTTTGAATGGTCTTAAGGCGTGAGGAAAGAAGAAGAAAACAGGAATTGGAGGCCAGAGGAGCAGCAGTCAAGGTACGAGAGAAGCATTTCAGGAGCGGTCCTGAGGATGTAGGTGTCTGTCTGAAGAACTGATCTTGCTGGAAGCCTCTGTGTGTTTGAATTTAGTTCTGGCAGAACCCAACCCCAGCAGAACTTTATACACAGAATTACATTTACACTTTTAAACTGAAGTTTTAAATTACTCAACTTTGATAACTGGCTACTGGGCAGCTTAGTTTCAAATGTAACTTGCACGGAGAACTCTGTTTTCCTCCATTAAACCCCAACCTTTGGTTATGTAGGATCAGCTCGGAACGCAGAAAAGAGAAGTCAAGAGATGCAGCCCGGTGCCGACGGAGCAAGGAATCGGAAGTGTTCTACGAGCTGGCCCATCAGCTGCCTCTGCCCCACACCGTCAGCGCACACCTGGACAAGGCGTCCATCATGAGACTGACCATCAGCTACTTGCGCATGAGAAAGCTGCTAGATGCTGGTAAGGGAATGACAGGACAGTCTGTAAAAGGGGCTGGAGGTATATTAAAGAAGAAGTTATTTCTAAATCCTATCGGCAGTTAAAAATAAATCAATTATAGCTGCATCCTTTTTCCGGAAGGGTGGAAGACATTACGGTAGAAACAGGCCGTTGGTGATGGCACAGGAGAAATGGCCATCATTCAACAGACTTTTGTTTTTCCCTTTCTGTTCTGATGATCCCAGTTGGCTCATCGCAGCCACAGGGCCATTTTCAGCCTCAAGTTATTTGACCCTTGTCCCAAAGTTAATTTCTTTCATTTAATCCTCCTCCTCCCCCTAGAGCTGGTTGCTCCGACTGTGCTCTGCCAGACTGTAGCTTTGTGCCAGGCTGGTTTATCGAACTGTAGGTGTTTTCTCGTTAATAGAAACTGCAAGAATTTTAATTTTTTTGGTAATTGTTCTCCACTGAAAGTGAAGTTAGCTGAGCTTGTGTGCCTGCAGTTACACCTCCCCACACAACTACAGGAGTGCTGGAGTTAGTTTATGAACCAGTATCTCTACTGCAGGCCAGAGATGCTGTACTGGTGATGTGTTCTCGTGCTGCCTGCCTGTACAGTCTGGAGGGGTAGCTTTGGTAGCTGTACTCTGAAACGTCTCCTAGGAAGACCCTGAGAAAAGTTTGTAATGCCTTTTTAGGATAAATGGTAATATTTCTCACACACACACTTTTTCCTTAAGGTGGAAGTGCACAAAAACACCAAACGTTCGACCTCACTCTGTTTTTCTGTGGTTTGTGATACAATTACTAGAGCTTGAAGAATTTAATTGATCACTTACCTAATGAATGTACTGGTTTTTAACAGTCTTGCAAGGTTGACTCCTTGCAGACTGGTGCCAGAAGTCATTCCTGATGGCTGATGTTTACTTAAACAAAAATATGTGGCTGCTTGTAGGTGAGCTGGAGACAGAAGCCAAAATGGAGAAGGAACTGAACTGTTTCTACTTGAAAGCTCTTGATGGATTTGTCATGGTTCTGTCCGAAGATGGAGACATGATTTACATGTCTGAAAATGTGAACAAGTGCATGGGGCTCACTCAGGTGAAAGACTGATGTTTTCTAAGACTGTTTCAAATCTGTAAAAGTTGTTGCAGTTTTGTATATGTAGTTAGACACACTTATACCTCTTTTTTTTTTTTTTTTTTTTTGCAGTTTGAGTTGACGGGGCACAGTGTATTTGATTTCACTCATCCATGTGACCATGAGGAGCTGAGAGAAATGCTTACACACAGAAATGGTGAGAAGAATGACAAAATGTATTTAATTTACTTACGGAAAGTTCCTGTTGGCTTTGGTACAGTTGGATATCCGCCAGAAAAAGGCGTTGAGATCAAACTACTATGTTTTGCTGCTTTAAGTCTCAATATAAACCTTGTTCAGAGATAATAACAACAGAAATAAACCGGAATGTTTTGGCAATATCCTAACTGTAGGAAAGATGAGACTTAGTACTCTCTAATCTAAAACAAAACTAATGATTAAAATGGAGTTATTGAGGGTGAAAAGGATTAGCGTGCCTACAGGAATAAAATTAGAGGTAGGTTGATTGAGAATGATCTTAGGTGATGGCTAGAGAAGGATATGGAGAACTTATGGAGAATTTGTCTTGGTCTGGGCTTGTCTTTACAGGACAGCTTCACTAAGCAAATGCTTTCTTCTAGAAATCTGTGGTGGTATACCAAAGAGACACACACACACAAAAAAAAAGGTACTATATTTAGGACACCGAAAAACTAATCGGAGAATACTTGGACAGCCCCCAGAAGGGCTTTGGGATTGATGCTTCTCTGCACCTTTTAATTGGTGCATGAAATTGGTATCTTTTCACAGATTTCTGACTCTTCTTTTCTCCGTCTGAGGGAGGACACTGTGTTCACGTATTCTGTGTGCTTTTGAATTTAACAAACGCCCATGAAATAACTGCTTTTATGTCTTCTAAAGGTTTGTTAATGACTATAAAGACTTGGCAGCCTGCATGCGGCCGAACAAATCTGCTGTACTCAGTTGTTAGATGTCTCATAATTCCCGTTTCATCAAACAAGGATGTTATATGGACTCTGAATCTAGATAGTGATAAATTACCGAGCCTGACCTCTGCTTTCGTCTAGCACTGTGAATCAGAAGTCTTTTATGTTGTTATTCGGTTTAATTCAGTGGAAGAGACCTGATAAGGTATCATAGCATAAAGGGCCCCAACTTTTCATTTTGTAAGCATTTTTCTAAACTTGTCTGCCCTCAATATTGAAGTCCGTATCGAAGGCTGTGTTAGATTCCCTCCACCCCCCTGCCTTTGGAATAGAGTCGTGCACACGGGAGAGGTGGAGAAACAACTTCACTGAGGCAGCCTAAAAGCCAGTCCTGCTATTGCTGCAAAAGCTTTATTCTCCAAAATGTCGTGTTACTGAGTTTCATGCAAACCAACTGTCTTAACTTGACCAGGCTGGAATAAAATGTCTGGAAAGCATTGTTACAAAATCCGTTTCGCAAATGAAGTTGGCAGACAAAAGTCTAAATTACAGTAATAATGGTACATTTTTATATTTATTAGTATTCCCAGGTCGCTTTCTGCTGCTGAAGCTCTTACGTCAGTGGAATTATTTTGGTTTTGAATTGAGTATTAAAGACTCCCCCTTGGGATTGTACAGGTGCAAATGAATACAGAAGGGACTGGCAGAAGCTGAACTGCATTCTGATTTTTATGAAGTTGCTTTTTAAACTTTCAAAGCTGGCCATTAGCTGTTCCATCTTTTAAAGTTGTTTCTCCAAGCAGAGGCTTAAGCATCAGGAGTTGGTAAAAATAATGTTGTGTCCTCTTCAACTATGATTTTCTAGATTGGTTTAACTCTTTTGAAAATGTACGGAATTAAATTTAAATACTGAATTTTGGCTGCTTCTCTGAGCTCTGTTTTTTGTGGGTTCCCCCCCGCCTCTGATTTATTGAGGATATTATGACGTGGCATAAAATAGGCTCATTCCTGTTAGTCTTTGCCTCTGCTAGCACTACTAGACAATGCAGTGTAGGGGCTTTCATATTTTTCTAATGAATTTTGTCAAACTAGTAGCTGCAGTAGAATGAATCTACTGTTGTCTGGGGAGGATGAGAGCGAGCTATTGTACAAACTTGTCTCAGAAGTAAGCTCACGTGTTCGGAACTTCCACCCCATGCTATGATTTGGCCCAAGTTTCTCAGCACGCCTGGGCAAACTCGCTCTTCCACTGCCCTGTATTCCTCCCTGCTTTATTTCGGCCTTCCACGCACACAGCTTTCCTGATAGGATCAGTTTGCATTTTCTCTGCCCAGAATAGCCTACTTGGTTATTGACTCTGAAAGGTTCTCCCTTGTAAAGGCAAAAACTTAACTTACTTGGCAAGTAAGGCTAAAAAATTAGCGCTGCTGCTGCTAATTTGTATTAGAATTTCTTGAATTCCATTTGGTTTTTTTCCCCCCAGAATGCTAATAATGGGTTTAAAAACTTGATCCCTGTTAACTCAGAGTGTAAATCACTGTGGAAATACTAGGATGCATATAAACAGCAGAATTGTTAATTCTGAATTAAAAAACTTAAAAGACCACGGTCCTGGTGAGCAACAGCCCCAAAATTTATTGATTTGAACCTCCATGCAGGGAGTTACTGATGCATTTCAGTGGAAACCAACTCAGTAGTACTTGTCACTCTGCACATGCTTGTCTTGCCCTCCCTCACAATTTTAACATCTATCAAATTTTTGATCAGTCTCTCTCCCTCTCCCCATCCCTTTTCCTAAAATCTGGGAGCGGGGAGTTGGCTACAAATACAATACTGATCTTAAAACACTGAAGCTTCAGTTTTTTGCTTACCTCACAGTAAAACTCATTCTGAAAAGAGTTATTATCGAAAATGCTGTTAGGTTTATCAATCTCTTAAAATTATTTTTTTGGGGTCTTCCCCTAGTGTTAAGAGTTCTATAACATTTTTGGGTTTGGGGCTGCTTTTCTTTTTTTTTTTTTTTTTTTTTAAACGCCTTTGGAAGATGATGCAGGAGCTTAAGAACTGGTTTTACTATTTGCTTTCGCTAGGTCCTGTGAAAAAGGGCAAAGAGCAAAACACGGAGCGCAGCTTTTTTCTCAGAATGAAGTGTACGTTGACTAGCAGGGGAAGAACAGTGAATATAAAGTCTGCTACGTGGAAGGTAACTAATGCAAAGGAATATTTATGTAGTTTGGCAGCTTCCTCTTCAGATGTCGTAACGCGGTATTTCAACGTTTTTGCTTCATGTAATGAACTTGAGTTTCACTAAACCCTTAACTCATTTAATGATGGTGCTTCAATATGCTGAATGTTAATGCTGAATACATCACGGAGGTAACAGAAACAATGTTTGAAAACGTAGTTTTTTGAAAACTCTTAATGAATTCTCCGTTTAAAATTAGAGGTTATTTACGTATTAGAAATTGTAATTGCTGAATGTTTGTGTAAAGCCTTCGCCTTTGGGGGAAAAACCCACACAACTTGACACCACTTATGCTGATACTTGTTTTCTTTTGATTCGACACTGTAAATGTGACAGTTTGAGATCTCTGAAGGACCTCAGTGCCATTCATTCCGAAGCTGCTGGCTATCACTTTTGTACCAGTTGGAACAAAAAGAGCACTGCCTGATAACTTTCTGCAGTCAGTGCACTTTCTCCTCTGGACAAAAAGTAACCTTTTACTGCATCGAGTGCTGTTATGGCTCACAATTCTCCTTTATAACTTACATTTAGTTATTCTTGATCAAACAAAGGAGTTGTCTGAACCATTTCTATTTCAGAAGGGTTAAAAAAAGTTAAACAAGTTAAAAAAAGTTAAACAAAACTCTTTGTCTCTGGAAGACTGTGTATTGAGCTGTAACATCCCTTCTGCAGAAGATCTAAAACGGAGAGGTTGATAGTGTTACCGTGACTTTCAAATGTAATTTTTGCTGAGGAAATTCCTTATCAGCATTGTCATTAATGTAACTTTCAGAGAAGAGCAGGTGAGGGAACTGCAGGAATGCCTGGCCCTGTCTCAGCCAGCACCCGGGAGGAGAGAGCTGGCAGCCCCTGCAGCCTGAGAACCGCTGCTCTCCTGCAGCCCTCCTTCCCTCCGCAAGCACCACCGCCTTCCTGGAGGGATGGGGAGGGGAAGGACTTCTCTTTGGGTGCCCTGATGGAAATAACAATTCCCTCAGCTGATGGACAACTTGCTCTGTGTTTTTAAAACGCCCCTTTCCCGTAGGTGCTGCACTGCACCGGGCACATCCGCGTCTACGACACGTGCGGGAACCAAACTCACTGCGGTTACAAAAAGCCTCCCATGACATGTCTGGTGTTGATCTGTGAACCTATTCCTCATCCCTCCAACATCGAGGTCCCCTTGGACAGCAAAACGTTCCTCAGTCGTCACAGTCTCGATATGAAATTTTCCTATTGTGACGAAAGGTAATATATATATATATACACACGTATAGTGCTTAAAAAAGAATTCATTTGAAGGATTTGCATGGCTAATGTTGGCCTTACACATTTACATAGTCTAACTTGTTAGCTTGAGTTGTCTGCACAGTGGGACTGTCACTGGGGATGCTTTGACTTTTACTAACTGATCAGGCTGTCTTATTTAAAAGCCAGATTATTATTTTTTTTTAATCTAAGGAGGGTGCAGCGTTATTACTTGGGAATAAATCATTTGCCTGCAGTTAACTGCCAGTTCAAACTGGTCTTTAGTGGTAGCAATTAAATTGAAATGAGAAGATTCTTCTGGAGACTGAAAAAACAGGAAGGATTTGAGGTTTGTCAAAGACGGTGATGCAATTTGGGGACTGAAAAGAGTCTGCGTGAATACTTGTCAGATGCATTTTATTGCTGCCACTTCCCCCCCTCTCCCTTCTTCAGGACATCAGTGTCTGCTTTCTCTAGTCCAAAAACCCCCCAAAACATTCAGCTGTGCTTTTAATGCAATACATCTGCTGTTGAAAATGAGATTTTTGCGTTCTGTTAGAAATCGTGGATGTAGTCAAATACATAAGACTGCTCTTATGGTCCTCTGGAAACTTGGCTTGACTAATCTGAAAGGCATAAGTGAAGGAAATAATTGGCCCGAGGCTTTTTTGTTTGGAGGTTTTTTGGTTTGGTTGGGGGTTTTTTTGTGTGTTTTTAATTAGGTATTATTTCTTACTGCCCATTTCCTTTTCTTTATAACAAAGACGAACTTCTAATTAGTTGCTGCAGTTGGATGCAAAGAGATGTTAGTGCAGGTTAACGTTCTGTCCTCTGCAGTGACTTTACCTTTCTAGGACTGATGGTGTCACATAAAAGTTACTTAATTTGGTCATTCTGCATAGAGAATGGGGCAGAGGAAAAGCGTTCCCCTGGTCAGCACTGCCCTCTAGGGGCTGAAGAAACCCATTTTCTTTAAGAAAGCAGAATAAATCTGTTTCCTTATTTTCTTTTAGCTGCAGATTTAAAGCCGTTGAAGCGTGTCTTTTTATTTTATTAAATTCTCATATTTGTGTAAGCTGGATATTCTAGTCCGTAAGTAGCTGGTCTACTTTTAAGCAAAAAGAAAAAACCACCAAAAACCTCAACGCTACAAAGCAGGGATTTACTTAATCCTGTCCGCCACAGGATATGATTTATAAATATTCAATGAGGAGGAAAATCCTGTGCCTGCTGAAATTTCTCATAAAGCATAAAAAGCTCGCATAAGCATAAAAAAAATAGTAATTTATTTCAAAGTGAAAACTGCCAGTAAACTGAAATTGTAGCTAATGCGTATGGAAGTGACTCTCAGGGTTTTTCTAGATGTGTGAGCATCCAAACGCTCTGGTAGTTGTGCTACTCCACATCTGCTATTATTTAGTGATTTTCCTTCGTTTTCAAGAATTACAGAGCTGATGGGGTACGAGCCAGAGGAGCTCCTGGGTCGCTCGATCTACGAGTACTATCACGCGCTGGATTCTGACCATCTGACCAAAACCCACCACGACAGTAAGTGAAAAGATGTATTTAAAGCCCTCCAGCTGCAAGAGACGAGATACAGCGCCGGGGGGAAAGCAGCAGCAGGACTCGGGGGTGGGGGGGAGCTTTCTTTGAATTGCAGATACGGATCTGCAGTGAATATTTATCTTAAATGCTTTTGGGTTTTCCTGCCTGTGATTAAAGGTGGTCTCCTCTCTGCTTTTAGTGTTCACGAAAGGGCAGGTGACGACGGGGCAGTACAGAATGCTCGCTAAGCAGGGCGGCTACGTCTGGGTTGAAACTCAAGCCACCGTTATATACAACACTAAGAACTCCCAGCCCCAGTGCATCGTGTGCGTCAACTATGTGTTGAGGTGAGGCGGGTGGACATTGCTATTCTTTTCTTTTTTTTTAATTATTTTTATTGAAGACGGAGTCTGCAGGTGGCGCTTCATCTCGCCCAGGATGTGATCCCCTGGTGAACGTGTCACGATGTTACTATTTCCTACTGATTAAATGTTGCTCAGAATTACTGCCGGGGCCAGGATTAGGAATTGGATTTGAGAACAAACCAATTTTTTTGAGCTAGGGATGTCAGTGGGAAGATCTCTGCAGGCAAACGAGTGTAGTTTGGGTCGGTCTCTTACTGCAGTGGAAGCGTTTGAGAATTTGTGTGCACTCTGGCCAACTCTCTGATCTTTGCCCGCCGTCTGGAGCAGTTAATTTCACTAATAACTTGTAGTCATGGAGTCACAGCAGTAGTAACGGTGTCTGTCTTAATCCCATTTATGTTTTTCTCCCTTAGAATTCCTCTCTTAATGGAAAGGTTCAACTGGGGCAGACTTGTTGCCTGTTTTTCAGCAATTGTTAATAGCCCTAAATTAGTTTTTCAAAACTCTACTGAATGTACCACTATCAACCTATCGACATATTGTACAGTCATTTAAAACGAAGAAAAGTGTTTTAAGAAATGTCTGACTTTTTTCTTTTTTCCTTGCTTTCTCAATGCTTTCAGAAAAGCATGTTTATTTTTGTTACTTTTTTGGATGGCATAATTAGTACTTACTTCGTCTATCACATTTGAGGAAAGAATGAGTAAGAAAAAAAGAATGTTTAAAGTTCCTATCCTGGTAGTTTTGTGGTGTGGCGTTTGAGGGGTTTTTTTGGAGGTGGTGGTGGTTGGTTTTGTTGGGTTTTTTTGGTTTGGGGTTTGGTTTTGTTTTTTTCAACTTACAAAAGGAATTTATTCCTTTTAGCTGTTCTTTAACAGTCATCTTCCTCTCTGTCTGACAGCGGAATTGTTCAGAAGGACTTGATTTTTTCCCTTGGACAAACGGAGTGTATGCTGAAACCAGTGGAGTCTCCTGATATGAAAATGACCAAAATATTCAGCAAAGATGACCTGGAGGATACCAACAGCCTGTTTGAAAAACTTAAACAGGAACCAGACGCTTTAACTGTGCTGGCCCCAGCGGCTGGAGACACAATTATCTCTCTGGATTTCAGCAGTAATGGTGGGTGTGCGTTTAAATTGGAGAGCATGCTAAGTAGTAAAGTTAGTATTTTACAGTAAATTTTGAAAAATAACCTCCCAATATCACTTACCTAGTGGTATTTCAGCCGCTGTTTAAATTTAATGAGGTCCGTAGACATGAACGGTATTGTTACTTAGGTTGATGGTTTCTTTTAATTTTTATAGAGTCTGATGAACAACAATGTGATGAAGTTCCTTTGTATAATGATGTAATGCTCCCCTCATCCAGTGAGAAATTGCAGAATATAAATATGGCAATGTCCCCACTACCTGCCTCTGAAACTACGAAGCCACTTCGTAGCAATGCTGATCCTGCACTCAATAGAGAAGTTGTATCAAAGCTGGAGCCAAACACGGAGCCACTCGAACTTTCTTTTACCATGCCCCAGGTGCAAGAGCAGCCAACCAGTCCTTCTGATGCAAGCACCAGCCAAAGCTCACCTGAGGTTAGTTAATGCAATTTGCATACACCAGCATTAAAATGTATGTGCTGTGGGGCCTCCTGAAGCCGATCCGATTAAGGATGCAGCCAAGATGGGAATGGAAAATTATTTCTAAGTTGGGACTTGGTTAAGCTTGTGCCATGAGGAAAAAAAAAAAAAAAAAAAAAAAAATTTTTTTTCTGAGCTTTTGTTTACCATGCCCCAGGTGCAAGAGCAGCCAACCAGTCCTTCTGATGCAAGCACCAGCCAAAGCTCACCTGAGGTTAGTTAATGCAATTTGCATACACCAGCATTAAAATGTATGTGCTGTGGGGCCTCCTGAAGCCGATCCGATTAAGGATGCAGCCAAGATGGGAATGGAAAATTATTTCTAAGTTGGGACTTGGTTAAGCTTGTGCCATGAGGAAAAAAAAAAAAAAAAAAAGATAAATTTTCTTACTGAGCATTTTCTTTTCATTAAAGTGAGTCTTGCAAATCCACGCAATACCACCTGATAGAAACAAGACGGGCCTGGATTGGTCTTTCTAGAAAAGAAGGGTTCAGAGACAGCTTATCTAAAAGCAAATGAGTTACAATTATCCTGCAATTACTGTAGAGGCTCCAACTAATGAGTGCTTCCCAAGTGGGGTGACTGTGTGCTGATAAACCTGTTTTCCTTTCCTCTTTTGATTTTGTGCAACTCTATATAGCTTGGAATTAGTTTTTACCTAAGAATGTTTTTTTTCAGAGAATCTGTAGATACAACACAAAATGATGTAATGACAGAAACTTTAAACTGTGCTCAAAATGTTTTCACAGCCCAGTAGTCCCAATGACTACTGCTTTGATGTGGATAATGATATGGCTAATGAATTCAAACTGGAATTAGTGGAGAAACTCTTTGCGATAGATACAGAAGCAAAAAATCCATTCTCTACTCAGGTAACGTACATAAAATTCTGTATCATCTTAATATTTATTCTCAGTACGTTTCTCTTAGAATCTCTTCCCCTTTTATGTAACACTTTTATTAAAATATTATGCAAAGAAATATTGTAAGGATTTGGTAAAAGGAAGAGCCTTAATGCAGTTAGAGCTGGGATGTTCTTAAATATTTATAGTTTTTTACCTCTTGTCTTTTCCAGGAAACTGATTTAGATTTGGAGATGTTGGCTCCTTACATCCCAATGGATGACGACTTCCAGCTGCGATCGTTCGATCAGCTCTCTCCGCTGGAAAGCAGTTCCTCTGGCTCTCAGAACGCAGCCACCGTGACCATATTCCAGCAGCCCCAGACACCCTCCAGTTCTGCTGATGAAATGAAACCGGCGACGGAGCGCGCGGATGATGTGAAGACACTAATTGTTCCTTCATCTCCTGTCCACATCATCAACGAAACGAGTAGTGCCCCAGCGTCACCGTACAGTGGGAACAGGAGTCGAACTGCCTCTCCAGTCCGAGCAGGGAAAGGAACGTTGGATCAGACGGAAAAACCTTGCCCGGGAGTGCCTAGCTTGCTGACAGTCACTCTCAATAAAAGGTATTTTAAAAGCAAAGCTTAAACCCTACTATCTGTTCAAGGAATTAGATAGAATACATTTTTTAAAGACTACTGACTGCTTCATGTTGTCTTTGGCATTCTACTTCAAAGCAGCAATTCATACATTTAAATTTGAACATTTCAAACCATTTTTGCATTTTGATTTTTTTTTGTATAATAAGCTTCCCTAAAGTTAATTTTGCAGTAGCTTTTACATAAACATCTTCTGCAAAAGGCAGCTACTGTATTGCAGACTGGGTTTATGATTTTGTTCTACTCTTGTATCTGACGTGCAGATGAAAAGTACGCAGCAGGCAATTCACAAGTACCTACACCCACGCAATGTTTCGGGTGCTTTTCCTGGCCGCTTTGTTAGGAGGCAGGAGGCAGCTACAGCCCGTGCGCTACCTGGATCGCCTTTAAAGCGAGCCGTGCTTCCTAGTGATGGACTGTGGTATTTGTAGGAGGTGTTTATCACGACAGAAAAGCCTACAAAGTCAGACATCAGACTTTTGATAAATAGAAGCTTTATCTGTACATCGAAACATTAAGAACAGACTTTTCTTAATATTAAGAACACACTTTTCCTCACCCTTCCCTCCCTCCTTTCTGTTTTGAAAGTGAATTGCTGAACTTTTATGCTTTTGGGTTTTTTTATTCTGCAAAAGCTTTAAAAATTTTTGTTATAACTCATTCCGTGTTTCACAGCAAGATTAAAAGCTAACGTTTGCTATGCTTATAGATAATGATTGTTGAAATAAGTCAATTATAAAAGAGAAGTAGTATGATTCATAAATTCAGTTCTGTGATATTGTGTGTAAGTGTTCACAAAAGAAGAATGGCTCAAGGGTAGTAGAAACGTCTTAACAGCCTGAATCAATTTTTCTTAGATCTACTGCAGTGGATGAAGAACTAAATCCAAAGATGCTAGCTTTGCATAATGCTCAGAGAAAACGAAAAATGGAACATGATGGTTCACTTTTTCAGGCAGTTGGAATTGTGAGTTTTGTTTTACCATTTTAAAATATTCACTTTTAACCTTGCAATTTCTGAAATGAGGAATCGGTGCAGACTCCTGAGTTTAGCTGTTGGTGTGCAGTGAAACCTTGGGATCAGAGAGAATCGTTCCATAATGAAATCCCTACACCTGTGCAGATCCTCTGACTCTTGTTCTCTTACTGTCGGCTGTTTCAAAAGTGCCCTTTACCCAAGCACTTCTCTTAAATAGGCAGAAGATACGCTTTTGTGAACATGTGTGTTCTTCAGTAGAATGTGCACCAATGTAAGACTTCACATTTAAATTTATAATTGCCATATTTATTTCACTTTCAAATTAAAACGCAATTGTCATGTTTGTCAATACTGGAGATAGTATTCTTATGCTTCTTTCTATGCTTTCATTTTTCCATTGAGTCTGAGGCTGCTTTATTTGTGCAGGTAACACAAATAAAGGAATATCCTTATACTCCCTGAACCATAAGGGAATAGAATTCATATAACCTAGCAAATGTATATTACTACCACTTTCACTTCATGCACACTCTCTCTCTGTGTTACTGTGTGGGCTTGCAAGTAGCTGTTAATCACCCCTCCTAGCTATTCAAAATAAACTTTTTAGATATTCTTAGATTTGGCACTATCCAGCTTGTTATTTTCTGCAAGGGTATTTCTGTCTCTTTGTCTCTTACTGTCAGTTCTTAGGATTTTGAAATCTTGAGTTTGCCATCATACTGTTCTCTCTCTTCTTGACTTCATTGTAAATTCCCACTTCTCTTTGGTTTTTGCACAGTTAATTCTTAGTTCCTCTGGTACAACGTAGCCTTTGAGATCAGTTTTTTCTAGCAGTCCATCTCCTAGGTGTAGTCAACCATCAGGTCTTACAGTGCAGGATTGTTTTTCTTCTGAACTATGAAATACTCCTCTATTAGGATTCTGGTTTGGGCATGATACCAATCACTGTACACAGTCTGTCATTGCTCTCCTCTAGAAGAGCTGAGAAAGCTCTTACGTTCACTTTTTACTACGAGACAAGCAGACTTGATTTTTTTTAAAAATTAAATAATCATACTTATGCTATTGTTTTCATTTGCTAAACGCTTTGCACTTCCATGCCTGGTGTTCTGTTGCCTCCAGTAGCCCTGTACGAATTCACAGCTCTGCAAGAGATTTTCTTGCTTTTCATTGCCTCTTTCTCACGCGACGGTGCTACAGCTGGCATAGTGCTGCGGATAAAATATTAAAAATATTTTAATCCATTATTTAATTTAATCTAAATTAAAGAACGGATGCCATTAAATACACAGAACACAAGCAGATCTGTACTAACTGCTGCAGTAGTCTTCAGGCTTCTACGCTTAGCGCCTTCTCAATGCTTATAGGTTCAAACTTCACTCTTTGAACCTTTTTTCTGTATCTGACAAAAGTGTTACAAAGATTGTGACGATTTCTGCACAGTCACAGGCTGAATTTTCCATGTAGCTGGATCTTGCTTCAAGCAAGTCCTTTTGTGGTTTGGCTGCTTTATCCGCAACAGGTTTCTGAGTGGATGAACTAGACCTTGCGCAGGCACAGAAGAAAAATGAGGTTAAAGCTAGACTGAAAATACATGTAGCAAAAAACTTGCTACAACTTCTTAGCTGTAAGAAAGCGGGACTTTGCAAAGAGTGAAAATAAGTGAAGGCAAAAAGAAAATACTACCTTAGTTTTCTAGAAAGCAGGAGTATTAGATATGGGCAAGATGTGTTATCCTGAGACTATGAAATAATGATCCGAATCATTAAATTGAAAAAGATGAACTAGGTCTGTTTTAATATGAAGGGCTGTATTGCATTCACAGTTTAAAAACCAAAACCAACCAAAAATCCAAAAAAACCCAAACCAACCAAACAAAACCACCCCACAACCAACCAAACCAGCACTAATGTAGGTGATTGATGTTACTGTGAAATGCAACTTCCAAGTCCAAGTTGCTCAAGTACAGCTTCTATTATACACCTGTCCTTTCGACTGGCAGGGATGTTTCATACCCTGAAAGCACAGGATCTTTACTATTTTCAGTGTTGGGGATAACGGCAGCATTCTGAAATATCTTTTCCTCCTCTTTTTGCAGCAGTCAGTACTACTAACAAGACCAACCTTTGCAGATTTGACTGCTTTTGCTAGCAAACTTGATACTAAGATGGCACGTTTTTCCTTCCATCCCACCTATTTCAGTGGCAGCTGCTTCTTACTTATCCTAATTATACAGAGCCCTCAAAACCTTTCCAATCTCCCTATCTTCTATGCTGCTGTCAAAAAAAATACGCTAAGGAGCTGTATCTGCAGTAGAATGGCTTAGGGCTGCATTCCCCACAAGACTTGGATCCCAGAATGATATGGGGCTGGAAGGGACCTCTGGAGATCATCTAGTCCAACCCCCTGCCAAAGCAGGGCTACCCAGAATTGACCTCCTGAGGTCCCTGAATCTCCTGTCTACAGTATTAATTCCAGTGCAGAAAACCATTAAGAGACTTAAGTGAAAACCCTGATGTTTACTCACAGCCGAGCAGTGGTAATTAATTGGATGTGTACGTGTACGTGGTAACTGATGATAACCAGGCTTTAGTGATTGTTTTCTGTAAGGGAGGTAAGGTCTTGAAATCTGATTCAGTTTTCTTTTAAATCTCAAGGCGAGTGTACCTGAAAATTTGTTTTCCCCAAGTTCTGAATGAAGTCCACTTTAGCGATGTCTGCATTAGTAACTGGTGACTGTTAGGAGCTGTTAGTTTGGGAGAGGGATGTGGAGGGCTGGAAAGATACAGCGTTTGATAAAGATTTATTTTATTTCTTTATAGGGGTCTTTATTCCAGCAGACAGGTGACCGTGGAGGAACCGCGTCGCTGGCTTGGAAGCGTGTAAAGGGATGCAAAACAAACGGTCGGAGCGGAGTGGAGCAAAAGACAATCATTCTACTATCAACTGGTTAGTACTGGTTTTTGTAAAACAGGCGGAGGGGTGCGGAGAGGGACCGCGGGACAGAGAGCTGAGCCACAAACCCATCCACACACACCTCCTTTGTGAGCAGTTTCGGGGAGAGGTTATGCGTGATGAATTAAGTGAGCTTTTTTATTTTATTTTATTTTATTTTCCTTCCCCTCCCTCTCTAGACATAGCGAGTAAACTCCTAGGGCAGTCGATGGATGAAAGTGGACTTCCCCAGCTCACCAGTTACGACTGCGAAGTAAACGCTCCCATACAAGGCAACAGAAACCTGCTACAGGGTGAAGAACTGCTCAGAGCCCTGGATCAAGTTAACTGAGCTTTCCCAATACTTTGTTCCTTTTTTTTGGACACTGGTGAATCATCACCTAAAGCAGTCTATTTATATTTTCTATATCTGATTTTAGAAGCCTGGCTACAGTACTGCACTAATTCAGTTAGTTCAGTTTTGATCCCCTTTCTACTTATTTTGACAGTCTTTTTAATATGTTCTTTATGTAACAATAACTCAAAACTTATAGTGCATTTTTATAATTCTTTGGTACATACACTTTTAAGTCCTTACATTTAAAACACACTCGCAATAGCAGCTTTGAAATATGCACCTGATTTAAAAAAAAAAAAATTAAAAAAAATATTTATTTTTTGGGCTGGGGAGTTGGTCACCAAACCTTATCATTAGTAAAATGTCAACACAAGAAAAACTGGCAATACTTCCACCCTGCTCTTCATAGGTAGTTGGAAGACTTGTGCTCTCTTTCTGTTTATGTTCAGACAAGTTGTGGGTTTTTTTTTTTATTTTAATAATTTTTATAAGAAACAACAATGCTTTGCAGCAGTGCATTGTAGCCACAATCGCACAATATATTTTCTTAAGAAATACCAGCAGTTCCTCATGCAATATATTCTGCATTTATAAAAACTAGTTTTTAAAAGGAATCTTCTTTTGTTTGCCTATGAAATCATGTTTAAACCTGGATTATGTCATTATTTTAGTCACGTTGTAACATAAATTGTTCTTAAATGCTGTCTTATGCTTTTGACTTAAATGAGCGTGGTTAGGCAAAGGAAAGGCTTTATCTGGAAAGGGCTAGCAGCATTTTATTTGGATACGTTCTCAATTTAGAGAGAGTTTGATGTTCTTAAAGTAGTCACTTTGCCAGCTTAAAAAAAAATAAATAAAATAAAATTCCCTGCCTGTAGTTGTTGAAGTTAATGCTAATACTGTGTATGAATCTTAAATCTAAATGTTCAGCTTACCCTGTGTGGTATAGGTGATATTTCAAGCAGATTGTAAAACATCTTGCATTGTTAGCAGAACTTTATCTAGTACATCGAGTTGCTCAATATTTTGATGTTTTGGTTTTATGCACCTTGTTGCTATTAACATCCGTATGTTTTCATGTAGATTTCAATAACTTGAGTATATTTAGAAGCCTTTTTATTTAGAAATATATAGTTGTCACAAACATCTTATTTTCCTATATGTACTGTACAAAACCTTCATTCACTCATTCTTTTGCTCTTTGTGGTTGGATCTAACACTAACTGTATTGTTTTCTTACATCAATAAACTCTATGTGGACCAGGCCCCTTTGGGGGAGTGTGTTATCTGAGAGAAACGAGATAATTTATATTTTTGTTAGTGGTTATTTGTTCATCCGTGTTTCCCTTTTGAACTCAGCGTGGATTGGAAATCACTGCTCCCTTATTTTGATTGTAACATCTCCATGTTAATTATTTGAGCCTATTCAGTACTGCAGTCTCCCTAGACAGTGTTGTGCTACTGCTCGCCAAAGATGTTCAACCTCTCAGTCTGTTCTCACACCAGTTAGCAAAGGGGGAAGGGAGGAGACAGCCCGCTGGTGTTACAGCTAGAGTGGAAAGAGTCTTCCTCCTGAACAGCTTAAAGGCTTGTCTCTGGAAGCTTGATCAAGGTAACACTGGAAAGCAGGAGAAAGTAAAATTCACAAGAGTGAGCAATTAAAAGATGGATTTTTTTTTTTTATCACAAAACCGCATGATTGAAAAATTAAGATTGGACTTGGGAGAAAGCTTGTTCTGTGTTCTTGTGCTGTTGATGTAGTGACTTTAACTAGGTGACTTCTCTTATTTTGCTGTCATTTGCACTTTTCAAACTGGCAGACTTGTATTACACAAACTGGAGACTGTTAGCTGCCAGCTAACAAAAGATGGGGCACTGGTAGCAGCAGACCCTTGTGTACTTAAAGTTGGAGTAGAAGTTTCACAAAGAGAGGAGAAAGCGCGTAGGGTCAGTAAGCCAGAACTGAAGCTTTACGCAGAGAGCTGCTTGGGAATATTAAATATTTTTTTTAATGCAGCATTTAAGCGTACGAAGCTTATAAAGTTCTCTGGATGAAAGCAGCAGAGCTGCTGCATGAGGGCTCCTGGATGGCATTTTTCCGGGGTTTAGTGGTGAAGCTGCTGAAGGCTTCAGTAAAGCGCGTTCTGCTTTTCTTACTGCCCCGGCGAGCTTTGAGCTGCCCTGGTGAGTTACTGGTTTCTTCTCTCCCAAGAGAAACTTCATACCTTCCTGCCTGATGTCGCTCTGCTACTCTCTTGACCTTTTGGAGGAACCTGTTTGGATCTGTCAGCTCCTCTTCAGTCTACCTTAAGAGGGCTGTACATTTTCATAGAGAAAAATCCACATTAAAAAGAGGAGGAAAACTTAAGTGTCCCACCTGATTTATGGTTATGAGCCTCCTGGAATCATCTCCGGTCTTAAGGATAGAAGTTGTTTATTAAAATGAGCTGTGTTTCATCTCAGACATTACACATAATGTGTTGTTATTACATTACATGTAATAACAAGGCATGGTATCTTGTTTACACTCTTGGTAAAAGTGACTGAAACAAGCAATTCCTGGAATGAACTGTGGGAGCCCTATTGGTTTACTCTAGGAAAAAAACAAATGGGGGAAAAAAAAGCAACAAAACCCAAGAATAAAACCAAATTAACCTCCTAGAGGCACTGAAGAAAGTGTGGAAAAGTAACCGTAATTGGTTGCTCTGGCCTTGTAAGAGCTTTGCTCAAGGCAGATGACAGTTCACAAAATATAGCACACTTTTTAGCTGCTGTTTGCTTGGTTTTTTCCTTACATTTTAGGAATACACAGCCTGATTCTAAACCTACTTTGGAGGACAAGCTTCTAGAATACATTACTTTCTAAACAGTTTTTTTAGTGATTCTGAATAATTTCTTAGCTGACTTACTACTTTTTAAAATGTGGAGGCACCACATCAGGGCACTTAATTCTTCCCCAGAAGGAAAGAAAAAAAAGTAGGTAAATAGAACGTTTCCTTCTGTTTATGAAATACACTAGATTATGTAGAAATGATAAACTGAGAATAACGAAGTTTGCTCCCAGCAGGTTCGCGTGACTCCAGCAGTGGTCAAGCCATGCCTTTTTCATAGCACAGAACAATTATTATCTTTAGATATGGATTCTAATAGATGTTTTTATCTACAACGCTGATGATTTTGTTAAAAAGTAAAGGCATTAAACCAGTATTTATGAGGACATCATTCATTCCTTTACCTGAAAGTAGTTAATTTGGGAGTTGTAGCTCACCACAAGAAGTCACTTAAGTCTACTGTCCAGTAATTTGAGCTTAGGTGTGACACGGTGAGTGAGTTAAGGTAGCCTGGAATCCAAATACACCTTTCTAACCTACCTTCCTCCCGTGCAGTGAGACAGGCTCGGGCTGTACGCTCAGCTTTTTGAAAATCTTGGGCTGAAACGGAAACAATTTGCTATTAAACTCTCCCCGAGTAATTATGCATTGAAGAATCACAGATTAAGGCCAGCAAGGCCAAGAAAAACTTCACACCTAACACTGGTGGCCAATTTCAAGCCTCCAAATGAACTGTTTTCCTTTGAAGGGTGCCCGTGGAAGCTGGGAGGGGTGAGTTCCTGACCATTGGGATGTGCCCGAGGTCAACCATCTGTCCCTGTCCCCACCGACACGCTTCTCGCTCAGATGTCACTGCGCTTACGCGTGTTATTCAAACTGTAATTGTCCAGCATGAAAATCAACGTTTCACAGGCCAGGAGTACTTTGTAGGAACACCATTTCATAGGAATTCACAGGAGCTGGATATCCAGCTTTCATTAAAAATACCATTAGCAATTTAGGTACTTGATTCCTTGGAAAGCTCCGTTCTGGAGAACTGTGATTTTTTTTTTTTTTTGATCCAAATTCTAGAAATGTTGTCATTGTTCTTCTGCTTCCATGTTTACCTTGAGCAAGGCTTGCCACGTTACCAAAAAGTTAAAGAGTTTGCAACTGGACTTACACAGTATGGTAGATTTTGTGAATAATAGCAGTATTCTCTCATGAAGAAGTGATATATTTTAATGGAATTCTTTTTCGGAACCAAGTACAACATATTGCAATTGATGTTTCCCTTGAAACATTTTTTACATACTTGTGACTGTATTTTTCTTTTTGATTGTGTTAACAGTATAAAATTCAATAAAAGAGAGGGTTTGTTTCTAATTTGTGACATCTGTGATCTTTCTGTTCATCTGCTACCCCTGTTGTAAAAGATGGAGATGGCAGATGGCAAAACCACTCTTTAAAGTGAACTAAATAACCACTAACACAGCATAACTAAAACTCCTTCCTTGTTTGAGGTCTGACTTACCTATGACTGAAGTCAGAAACTCTGACACTAAGCGGACATAGGGTCTGTTTCCCAAAAGCCTTTATAAATTCTCTCATGCCCTTACAGCTGGACCCCGTTCACCTTAGACATAATGCTTATCCCGCCTGAATTAAGCGGACTGCCTGCATGAACAAAAGAGGTTAAGCGTGCAATTTAACCAGGGAGGGGGGGGGGAAATGAAACCTCTGAGTAATCACATCAAGAATGCCCTGAGTAACAAAACAAACTCGTTCGAATCCAAGGCGACGACCTGGAGGTGGATTCAGGTGCTCTCAGTACATGCAAATCACTTCACCAGAACTTCTGACTCTTGCTGTTCTGTTTAATCAGCACTGCTTCCTATGGCACACATTAAAAACAGCTGCAACCTTTTTTGCTGGGTCGGGAAGTCTGACAGCAGAAGGCACACGCAAGTGCTGTCACGGCAGAGTATGATCCCATTACTCGGTATTAGTGATAGCTTTGTACATGCAGAAGTATGGATATGCTATTTAATAAAATAGACCCATGATTTATTTTCATTAAAATCCATTAAAACACGATTTATTTCCATGTTTTCAATTTGAAAATGTGTTCTAATACAAGGTTTGGGGTTTTTTTTTCTTAAAAAAGGAGTTGTTTTGTGACATGTGCAATGGTAGAACCCCCCGTTATTTATATCTGTGCAGGATAAATGGCTTTTTAACTTGCAACATATAAACTAGGAATTAACAGCACAAACAGGCCTTAATCTGTTTGTGTTGGAGTTAAATAAGAATACGAAGAAGATACAGCAACCAGCACACTCTTCCTTATATAATCTAATTTTTATTTTTGTTTTCTTTTAGGTTGGAAGGCAGCCTGTTAAGAATTAAAATGTACTAATGAAAATTCTATAGGAGCACTAGATGAAAATACAATTGATCAAGTCTTAATTAGCTTAAAAAATTGACATGGTATTTCATTGGATACATCACAGAAGGCAAATTCTACGAAGACACCCTGTTGCTTTTTTTTTAATTATTTCTCTGCATTTTCATTCTTTATACTGCAGTCAAACTTTCTGCGAGGAAAGACTTAGCCCATGTTAACGCGTGGGCGCATCATCCTCACTACATCTTACACAATCCAAATGTCGTGACACGCCGCCCCATCTGCCTTAGGAAAAAAAAAAAAAACAAACCAAAAAGCAGAAATTTCCACCTAGCGTTTCTTGAAACACGACCTCTGAGAAATCACAACACTCGCAAAACACAAATGAAATACAAAAATCAGAAAACACACTCCAGCTTTACAAATTGGGTGTCGCTCCTGAGACAAGCTCCTCTGCTCTGTTTAGATGATGGGGTAACTCCTGTAACTAAGAGGGGCTTGGCTTGTCCTGCAACTACAGATAAAAACTACTGATATACTCCATGATGGATCAATTATTAACTTCCATCCTTAAGTCCATTGCGGGGGGAGGAAGGGGGGAGCACATTATAACTGTTTACCCAACGGCTCTGGCTTTCTGTTTCAAAATCAGTACAATCTGTTGAAGACGGGGTCACATACTGGATGAACGGGGTCACTGCCCTACCTACGTCTCTAAACGTGACTTCAAATGAGAGATGAAAATCTCGTCTTTTCCGGAAAAATAATAATAAAAAAAAAAGCCAACCCAAACCCCCAGCAGGTGCAGCTCTCCCCCTGCGGCTGCTAAAACCTGTTCAGCTCAGAGGTAACAGCTCATGCTTCGGTTCCTACAATCAGTGACCGTGGAAACCAGTGGTGCTTGAAGACAACACCTGTTTAGCTGATGGCTGTTCATTTCCCACTCACCTACACAGGCTGCTAAAGGTTGGATCCCGGCAATCTTTTGGGTTAAGATAATAAATACAGAAAGATGCTTTTGTGCCTGATGCGTTGCGGAAGCTACCGTCACTGTAGGAGCTGACAGTTTGAAGTGCTTAGCTTTAAGGAGCCACCTTTGGATCAATCACAGAATCCCACGGGGTTGGAAGGGACCTCTGGAGATCACCTAGTCCACCCCCCTGCCAAAGCAGGGCCACCCAGAGCAGGTCCCACAGGAACATGTCCAGGTGGGGTTTGAATATCTCCAGAGAAGGAGACTCCACCACCTCCCTGGGCAGCCTCTGACAGGGCTCTGCCACCCTCACAGCAAAGACGTTCCTCCTCATGTTTAAGTGGAACTTCTTATATTCAAGTTTGTGCCCATTTCCTCTTGTCCTGTCCCTGGGCACCACTGAAAAAAGACCACCCCATCGTCTTGACATCCACCCTTTAAGTATTTATAAGCATGACTTATAATAAGCAAGTATTTATAGGCATGATTTATAAGCATCCGTTAGTTGGTGAACTGGAGAACACAGCACACCAGAGCCAGCAGGAGTTAGAATTCTGCAGTGACGGATTATTTGAGAAAGCGAAACGTGAACTTTTAACGTGGTGACAACGCGAAAACACCTGCAGGGTTCAATACCCCGAGAGGCAGCGGGCACCGCCACCCACCCCGCGCCTGCTCACTGACTGCTTTCTGCCGCTTTTCACCCCAAAAAAGCGCCGCTCCCGGGCTCCGCTCGCACACAAGCCGAGAGGTCACAGCCCCCGCCTTCTCCATCCCAAGAAGGATGCAGAAGCCGCCTTCGGGCGCTGTCCTCCTGCCCAGCCCGGGGACCCGCAACCCAGGGCGGGTACCACCGCCGCTCTCCAGCCCCGCACCCGCACCCACGACGCCTTGAAACCCTCAGCCCCCCGTCCCCTTAAACCCTCCTGGGAACTACCGCGGGGCTTTCCCGGGGAAGACGGCGCCGAAAAAAACCACCAAACCCCACACGGGCGGCTGCGGAGCTCGGAAGGCCGAGGCGGCGCGGGGGGGGGACGGGGACGGCCGGGTGACGGCCCGCCGCGCTCGCTCAGGGGGATGCGGGGCTCCCCTCAGCCACCGTGAGGCCCGCTCCCCGCCTCCCGTCACGGTCCCCCTTCGACGGGCCCGGCCGGGCGGGGGAGCGGCGGGGCCTCACGTCCCCCAGGGAGCCCGGGTCCCGCTGTTCCCTCAGCGGGATGGCCGGCTGTGTGGTGTGCGGGGGTGTGCTGCTGAGGGAACAGGGGCGGGCAACGCCGGAGCCCCGCGCCCCACCGGCATCTCCAGCCTCCCCCGGGGCTGCCGAACTGATCACAGAGTCACAGGGGGTTGGAAGGGACCTCTGGAGATCACCTAGTCCAAGCCCCTGCCAAAGCAGGGCCACCCAGAGCAGGTCCCACAGGAACGTGTCCAGGTGGGGTTTGAATGTCTCCAGAGAAGGAGACTCCACCACCTCGCTGGGCAGCCTCTGCCAGGGCTCTGCCACCCTCACAGGAAAGAAGTTCCTCCTCAGGTTTAGGTGGAACTTCTCACATTCAAGTTTGTGCCCATTTCCTCTTGTCTTATCCCTGAAAAAAAGGCCAGCCCCATCCTTTTGACACCCTCCCTTGAAGTATTTAATAAGCATTGATCCCCAAGTCCCTCAGCCTGTCTTCATAAGAGAGATGCTCCAGGCCCCTCATCATCTCTGTAGCCCTCTGCTGTCCCCTCTCCAGCAGTTCCCTGTCCTTCTGGAACTGGGGAGTCCAGAACTGGACCCAGTGCTCCAGATGGGGCCTCCCCAGGGCAGAGCAGAGGGGCAGGATGACCTCCCTCCACCTGCTGGTCCCACTCTTCCTGATGCCCCCCAGGATGCCATTGGCCTTCTTGGCCACAACGGCCCATTGCTGGCTCATGGCCATCCTGTTGTCCACCAGGACTCCCAGGTCTTTCTCCTCAGAGCTGCTCTCCAGCAGGTCCCCCCCAACCTGTCCAGGTGCAGGGGGTTATTCCTCCCCAGGTGCAGCACCCTGCACTTGCTGAAGTTGAAGTTCATCAGGTTCCTCTCTGCCCAACTCTCCAGCCTGTCCAGGTCTCACTGGATGGTGGCACAGCCTTCTGGTGTGTCAGCCACCCCTCCCAGTTTTGTATTGTCAGCAAACTTGCTGGTACACTCCATCCCTTCATCCAGGTCATAATACCTAATAAACCTGGTACCTAAGGCAGATTTTATGTAGTTTATAAATGGTTAAACTGTAGAGAATCTTCTTTTAGAGAAGAAATGTAGCTATTTTAGCAACCATCGCAACTGGTTTCCAGGACCCAGTAAGATAAGGAAGGATGTCTGTGGCCCTGAGGATGTGGTGACCGAAGACAGGGATGCAACAAATATGGACATTGTCTGACAAACAGGTGGCAGCAGGGAGATCATTAGTGTTAATGAGCAATTAAGCAGTTAGAATGTTTTGCCAACATGAAAACTGAGCCAAAGCATGGGTGAAGAAGAAGATTGAGGAAGAAATGACCCTCACTCAAAATGAGGACCACCAGAAGGTGCGGCTGCGCATGCCCCAAAGCTCATTGTAATATGTAAATAAATTCTCGGAAATGTAATGAATATGCTAATGTTTCCTTGGCATGCCATTGAATATGTATACCTGTTGTGTCTAAAATTTGATAACAGTATTCGGGGTGCACCACAGGAGGAGCAATCCCTCGGTGCCGCAGTACGGAATGCCTGCTTTCTGAGCTTTACATTGACTTTTACAAAGCTTTACCCGCCGGCTTGCGGACACAGTTCGGCGCGGCTGCCCGATGGAGCCCACCGGACCGCTCTTTGCCGCCCAAACCCTTCCCTCCCTCGGGCTAGTCCCCCGGCGGAGGGCGAGGGGACACGGAGGGAGGGAAATCCTGTCAGCGGCGGGAAGATGGCGGCCCCGCTCCCTCAGGGAGAAGCGCGAGCCGCGTCTCCGTGGTAACGGAGCCTGCGCATGCGCGGGAGGAGGCTGC